TTAAATGGAGAGTTTTCCGAGTGGAAGTCAAAGGTGGTGAGCGTGTTGGCCAGTTGATGGGGCAGGTCGAAGGGCGGCATTGTCAGCCGCGTTGAGTAATCAAAGAAGGACAGTCGCTGAAGGCACCTCAGCGATTGGATGCTCTCTATTATCATGGGGAATGAGGGCAGGAAGGCGTTCTCTGACACGTTCCACACTACCTGAAGAGTGGTCAGGCTGTTTGCGTAGGCGGTGATCAGNCAGGTCTTCGGCGTCAAAGTCATCGATAATCACCACAAGCGTTTTTAAACTAGGGAAAGTGGCGGTGCTGAGAGTGGTGGCCAGTTCGGCGGTCAGCTCAGCTGCAGTCAACTGGTGGAAAGCGGGGCTGACGGCCTGAATTGGAAAGATTTCATAATAGGCTTGCTGAAGTTTGTTGACTATCTGCTGACGATGTCCTCCTCTGCCCAGGACTAGTGTCAGGGTGTGCTGACTGCGGCCAAGGCTGTCTACTGTTGCTTTCCAGACGCTGTTTACCTGACGCAGAATGGTCAGTCGGATCACGAGTGGAAGCCACTTGAGGACGAGGCGAAGGGTGTCGTCAATCAACCCATCCATCTTCCTTATCAGGGTGAACAGTGATTCGTAGAGGGAGTGTTACAAAAGAGTTTTGAAGTCTTTTTAGATCGTGAAGGGATGAAGAAGCTGAGATGCGGAAACTGGAAGGCAGTATGTGATGATGTCAACAACAAATTGAGTCAGCAAAAAAGGGTTTGGGAGGAACTCAAAACAAGCGTGTTAAAGTAGCTATGCTTTTTACCTAAAGGTAACGCCATCTGTGATGTCGGTAAGCTATATTCAGTTTATTTAAAAGTAAAAATGTTTTCATGAGAGAATAAAACGTGCTGAGGACTCAAGGGATAAAGGCTCTGTTTACTTTTTGCACACGGGAGCACTATAAAAAAGGCCCACTTGAAAGACACGTGAGCCACTTTTCTGTCTGCCTCTCTTTTGTAGAAAACGCACTAGTCAGAACACCTTTACTTTGTCCAATTTTTACTTTTGATTTTTTGCGTTTCAACATTACTACCACTATTATCATCACTTTTCCTCTTTCCTGACCATGTTCTCCCAGCTCTCCTCTTTGCTCAGCACCTCTGCCTACATTGGCATTGGCTCAGCGTACAAACTCTACCAGCACTTCTACGACTCCCAGAATTCCGAGCTTTTGAGCAACAGCAGCAACAACAACAACAGCAGCGAGACAAAACTGGCTGACTTAAACTTTAACTGTCTTCTCCGCCTGCTGGAGCAAGTTCCATTGGAGCAGCGAATTCTTTCTCTACGCCAGGTGAACAGCCAGTGGACAACTGCCGTGGAGCGCCTTTGCAAGAACACCGAAACTCTTACCCTTCAGCTCGGGCGTGAAGACCAGTGAACGGAGATTGCCTGCAGTGTGAAATCGAAACATGCCGACCATCAATTTCTGGTCAATTTTTTGAGCGGTTTCCACTCACTTACCGCCGAATACCTGAGCGAGCCTCTGATCACCTTCCTCTCTGGTAGCTTTTTCTCCGTTTGAAAACGCTGGCCATCGTCGTGAGCGACCCCACCGAGGACGTCGACTATCTTGAGCACCTGCCTCGACTGGTGACCGCCTACGTCCCCTCGCTGACCACCCTGCAAATTGTCTTCAACCTGCCCAACGCCCCTTTCCACGCGGTACTCACTCCGCTGGTGGAAGCCATCGACGGCTTGCCCCACCTGGAACGCCTCTCCCTCTTTGACTACGCCAACTGCCTCACTGTGCCTCCTTTCAACCTGCCACGCCTCTTTGCCAGCACCACCTTTCGCACCTTTGACTTCTTCTAGCAGGCGTCCACTCAACGGGCCGATTACTGGATAGAAAGCCTAAAGGCCCGAATGCGACAAAGACAACAAGTGAACAACAAGAACGGAGAAAGTCCGCCGCCGCCGCCGCTGATGGCCATTAACATGCAGGCGTACGCCTACATTCCCTTTGAAGGAAGAGAGGAACCGCTGCTTACTGTAGCCGCCAACTTTCACCTCTTCAGCAGCGTTTCCTTCCAGCCGGTCAGTCTTTTCACCATCAACGACTTTGCCGACGCCTTCGTCAATCTGCGCGCAGTCCATCTCCTCAACGAAAGCCCTTCGATGGGCGCCATTTTTGTGCAGCTTACCAAACTGCCGCACCTCTTTGACCTCTACCTGGAAAGCAGCCTGCTGCGAACGGACGCCAAAAAAGGGCGTCTAGTGTACAGCGGTGCCAGCAGCAGGCAGCCGCCATCGCTGCCCTCTGTTACCCGCCTGGAGCTGGTACTCTACGGAAACGACGAGAAGACGCCCTTAGAGCACCGCTTCCTCGAGGAGCTCCGCTTTGAGGTGGTCTTCCCCGCCATCCAGAAACTTTTCATCAACCTGTCCTTTGGCCGGTGCAGCAGTTGCGAGTGGCTGCCGGGGCTGCCGCCTCAAAACGCCGACCAGGCGGAGCAGTACGTTCGCCACCTGGTGGCGCCCTTCTTCGCCCCTTCCAGCGGAAACCGACAGCAGCTGTCCGAGGTGGTGGCCAACGCTGATGACCGCTATAAACTGGACCCGTTAATTGACTTTACTGTGCTCACCTCTGAAAAAGGACCCCTAGAGCAGGCGATGGTGTTCACTAGACAAAAGCGAGGCGAAGGTGGAAAGCAAACACCTCTGCTGTAGTGCATTGTTTTGCATTTTTTTCCGTACATTACTGAAACTACTCATTTTCGGTTCATTTGACATTTAATTGATTACAAAGCTTTTTTTAATAATAAAAAATGAATAGCGCCAAAACTAGTATTTGCGACTTTTGCACAAAAAACAAGAAATTCAAGGCAACGTTTAAATTTTTTTAAGCAGTAAAAAGGGCAAAATGTGCCTAGCAGAACGGCAATGCCATTACAGTTGCTGCTTTTACTGTTGTTGCTAATAGTTTGAAAACAATTGTGAATATAAGGTCATTTTCAGTCAGTCCTGTTATCGGTTTCTTACACTTTTCTTAGACAACCTTTCTCTTCAGCAATTCTTGACGTCGTCACAGTCGTACTTGTCCAGTATCTCATCGTACTCGTCAATGCGATCTCGAATGAACATTTCACACTGCACACCGGTGGCCACCAGTTTCTTCAGACATTTGTAGTAGGCCTTTCCTTTACAGCAGTTGGCTCGAGAGTGGTCGACGATCAGCTCGGTGGTTGGTTTGCTGGCGTTGCAGGCGCCCACTATTTGCGCCTCACGAGCAGCACAGTCAGCCCGAGACGGCTCAGTACTCCATTGAGAGTAGACCGAGGGACTGATTTGAAGGAGTAGTAAAGTGGAGAACAGCATTAGAAGGTAAAAATGAGAAAGTGTAAGAGGACTGATGTTAAATGCAGATTTGAAGATTTCCATTTTTGCAAAATTGTGCGAAATTAATATATTGAAGATAATGTCACAAAGTTTTTTTTGTAGAGTTAAAAATGATTTATTAATTGTAAATTTTTATTGTTGCAAAAAATAAAACTATTAACCGGCGCACAATTTATACCAACACTCATTTGCTTTGTGTTTTTCCACAAAGTTTTTAACAAATCAAATAAAATCACAAAATCACCAAATTACCATCAAGCACTCAATGATGACTTGCCAGTTTTATAAATTTGCAGCAGCAATTGTTGTTCAGTTTAGCTGTTAAACAGATGATTAAGTCTGTAAACACAAATAAAGAGAGAAAGAACAATTAAAAATAGATTATAATTGTAATGATGACAATGACATTGAGGGAGAGAGAGGAATGCACTGCAACATAACACAACAGGTAATGGCCGGGAAAAACACTCATTACAGTGCGCATTCCACAGAAGAGAGTGCTTTTTAAGAAAGTGTCAAGTGAAACGCTGTCATGCTGAAAGAAAAATCTAACAAGAACATTACCATAAATCAAATCACCTTTTTTATTTTTGATGTTGACAAAGTGCATATTTTTAGATTGACAACAGGTTTTGAAATATTAGAAAACAAAAAATTAAACTCAAACAAACTTTTTTATTTTGACTTGTGTCTCTTTTGCTGCTTTTATTCTGATCTTTATCGGTTTCCTCATCTTTGTTTTTATCTTTATTTTTATCATCATTATTATTGTTGTCCTGGTTTTGGTCATTGTCATTGTCCTCGTCGTTGTCGTCTTCATCATTTCTTTTGCAGTATTGCTCATATTTTTCTTTGTACTCGTCAATGACCAGTTTCATGTACTCACGACAGCCATTGTCATCTGAGTTGAACTTTTTTTAATTACTTTTTTCATACACTGCTGATATGATTTGGCCATTTTGCAGGTTTTCTTAGAAAGGTTGTTGTCAATTTTGGTCGAGTTAATCAACTTATCACAGGAGCCAATTTGTTCACTTTGTCTATTGTTGCAACTGATTTGAATGTTGTTGTTGTTGTTATTATTGTTATCACATTTGCAAATGCACAAAACATATGTCACTATAATAAGCATTTTAATAAAGTACATTTTATTATGCATTTGATTTATTAGGCATTTGTAACAAAAAAATAAAATTGTTTTCCCTGTTTTTGCTCAGTTATATACCCACTTAAATGAATAGCAAAATGACAATAGAAAAATCTAATAGATTGCTTTATTACTTTTGCTAGACAAAAGCGCAAAAACATTGAAACGGAACACCAGTGCAATGGGCTATTAACTAAAAAGAATGGCAGTATTTCAATAACGGTGTTTTTGATCAATAAAAACCGTTTTTTATTAGCATAATTGACATTCAGTTAGTCATCACTTTATATCTTGCCATAGTGAAAGTGATTGGTTGCTTGAAATTTTTTCTTTTAATTTGTACTTTTTGCTGTAATATGATCAGTTTGTATTTTCATTTAAAAAGAACTTTATTTACCAATATAAACTTACAATTTCTTAAATTGGTAATAAGCTTTTTATCTATTTTTAATAGCAGCAAGTTTCATTATTAAAAATCTCAAACCTTTCTTTTAAAGTAGGGCAGCTCTTCAAGCGGCGCCAGCACCTTAAACTCGGCTGGACCGGTGTAGCTCTTGCCGTGCTGGTCGACCCACGTTCCAGCGGTCAGGTAGACTGAGCGCTCCTTGGCGCCGGGCGTCACCACTGGCGCCACGATGATGTCGTTGCCGACGGCAAACTGGTCCCCAACCGAGTAGGTCTTTGTGTCGTTGGGCGTCAGGTACCAGAGTGGTCTCAGGAGCGGAAGTCCTCCCGCTTTGGCCGCCGCATGAGCCTCTGCCACCAGCGTTGAAGCGTGCTGCAGGTGAAGAGCGACAAAGGTGGTGGTCAGGTTGGCGGCCTTCGCCGACAAGGTCACGCCAGAGGAGAGCTGCATCGAGGCAAAGAAGGTGGTCAGCTGAAGCCAGCGAATGTACAGCTCCTCAGTGGGTGCTGCCGTTGAACCGGCTGAATGGGACAAGGTGGGCGCTACTGCGTAGGGGTAGCCCGCCAGACCGATGGTCAGCACCTGCGGCAAGACATTCTTCAGCGACGCCCAGTCGGCCCCAATGTCTCGCATGCGGAGAAAGTTGCGCCAGACCTGCGTGTGATAGCCGGCATCGAGGTCCACCAGGCCGCCCATCCAGCTGCCCGTGGCGGCGTAGTAGCGGGTGTACTCGTTTGAGTAGTGATCAGTGCGCATCGAGTCTGTGCGTACAGTCTCCGGAACGCCGAACTGGCCGAGGTCGCCGCCGACGAAGCGGAAGGAGTCGACCTTCTCGAAGCGCTCAATGTCCTTCAGGCGGTGCACCAGCCAGTCGCGAGAGTGGTAGAGGGTGGCCGAGCCGGTGGGGTAGTTGAAAAGGGATCCAGTCTGGCTGGCCGAGGTCGACTGCGAGGGGTCCTTCCAGGTGAAGGTAAACGGGTGACTGTGGTTTTTAGGATCTCGCAGGAAGAAGTGAGGGTGCGACTTAAAAACGTCCGAGTGTACGTTGTAGAAGGAGTTCACCGTCAGCTTGACTAGGTAGCCTAGTTTGTGGATCGCGGCCACCATAGCCGCCGGATCGGGGAAACGAGCCGTGTCCCACTTTAGATCGCCCATCACCGCCTCCCATCCCTCGAGGACGATTTGCAGACTCTTCAGCCCCAGCGTTTTGGACAGCTCCGTCACCTTGGTCAGCACATCAGCTTGCTTCAGCGATCGAGCGTCCAGTGTGTAGGTGGGGTGGCTGAACATGCGCTCATCAGGAATCGCCCCTTTTGGACTCTCTCGACCGATGATGTAGTACCGATCGAGGAGAAGGCGGTGCAGTGCGGCCATGTCACGGGTGGCAAAGATCTCAAAGCTGATTGAGGCGTAGTGCAGGGTGTCGCGCTTGTCGTGGTGGTCCGGACGAATGCTCGTGCAAAGCTTGTTACCCGTCTTTCGCTCCACAAAGTCCGGATAGTACTGCGAGAAGAAGATGGCAAGGCCGTCAGTGGTCAGGTAGACGTTCTCCACCACCGGGCCAAAGGGGGAGTCCTTCTCGTAGACGCCCGTTTTCAGAGGCGCCGGTCCTCCGGTGAAGGGCTTTCCAGTGTTGAAGGGCCACGGCTGTTCCTTCTCCAGCGAAGTGCTGTACCAGCTGGCGCCGTTGAATGCTAGGTCGAAACAGATCTCCTGGTCGGGATACTCCCGACCCGAGTGGTACCAGTTGAAGTGGTACAGCGTGTTATCGTGAAGGTCTGCCGTCGTTCGAGTGGTGTTCCGCACGTTGATTACATTGTGGTAGTGGGTGGCGTTTCCGGTCGCCTTCGGGTCGTAGTCCATCACCAGCGACCAGGCGTTCGTCTTCAGCTTGTGGTCGGTGTGGGTGATGTTTCCCCCGGTGAAGGTGATCTTCAGCTTGGCATTGGCCCGGAAAGGGTTGCTGAACTCCACCGTCTGGTGGTCGACAATGCGAAAGTCATCGGCGGTGGTGGTTTGAAAGATTAAAAGAAGAACAATGGGCAACAGTGTAATAAGAGGCTTCATGATTACAAGTTAAACAGATTTGATTAAAAATGTCAGGTTTTTTTCTGCCAGCAAAGCGCCAAACTGACACTGTTTTTGCATTACTTTTTATTTGTCAGTTTTGGTTCAGTAGTAGTTGTTTTGTGTAGAGTTAAAGTTTGTGTAGCGTATTTTGCTGATACCACCATGAGGGCAAACTTTAAAAGCAGATGTTTTAATTAATAGAAAAATAGTTGTCCTTTGTACTGATTGATAGCTGTGGTAGATACCATTGATGGTAGTTTACGGTTAGATTACTAAGCATGCTTTAATCTGTTATTATCAGTTATATGTCTGCATTTTTTTAAATGGTTTTGATAAACCAAGTGTACTTATACTGCAAATGCACTTTATTTAGGTATTTTTAGGTTTTAAATGCAAATAGTTTTTGTATAAAATTAATAGCTGAAAAATGCTACTGTAATGCTGGCATGATCATGACACAGGAAATTGCAAAAAATAAGAGTAGAAAAAACAAACAAGATCTAGAATTTTAGTTACAAAAGAATTTCATAGAACAAGATTAAAAAAAATATGCACAACGGTTATATCAAAAATGAAGAGTAAAGGATGAAATGAGGCACTTTGACTTTAGCCTCACGGGTGCTCCTGCTCATGAGTAGTCATCTCGATGCTATTGGTGGCAGGAGTGGATCCACACAGCTTCGCCATAAGCCAATCGACGCACCGAAACGTACAATAGAGAATGCCGGCTCCGAAGCAGAAACAGATGCAGGCAGATCCAAGAACGGCAAAAGCAAAAAGAATCATTTTCAAGGTTTCATTATTGGAGACGCAATCGCTGGTTTGGGTGCTATGCGAATCGCAGTAGAGGCTCTTATAAATATTGGTTCTTTTCAACAAGTAATTACTATCGTACTGAATGAGCTTAAAAACGGCATTTCGGTCTTCGTTCTTATCACAGTACTTCGAAATCTGTTCATCCAAACAGATGCGGTACTTGACGATGATGCAGCAGGTGTCCTAACAACACTAATTGTTAGCCTCCTATTACAATGTAGTGAGCAATTTGTGATCTTACCTTAATTGTAAAAGGAGAGAAATCGTCGAATTGTTCCCTTGTCATTTTATTATCACCCTGGCAGTCTGCGAAAGCATACAACAGAGGGTCACTATCACATATGGGCAACTTTTCCAGTTCAGCAAAAGCACAAACGCCCATCAGTGAGATGAGCAAAGCAAGAAAGGCAATGCTGGTGGTGGTGATGGTAGTGGGACTCGACTTGATGAACATTGTTTTGGTGTGACTGAAGAAAAAAAAGTTAGAAATTGACAAACAGAATCTCTTAAAAAGCTAACTTTAAGGTTTCGGCACGCAGAAGAAAGCCAACAGTCGAACAGGTAGAAGTGATGCACTAGAAATCACAAAACTTGCAGCAACAAGCAGACGTGGAGCCAGCGAATGAGAGAGAGAGTGAGTAGATGAGATTGGGCTAAATGAGCCATTCATTTATACCTGTACAGTGTACGACTGTAAAGGGCGAGCTTTTCACTAGAAAACGGCGATCCCATGCACCACCTGAAAAAAGTAGTTGTAGTAGTCGTAGTCCTAGCAACTGAAGGCAGAAGCAAAAGCTAAAGCAGAGAAGGCGCGCAAGAGAGTTGGTCGAGGTGGGCTGCCATTGTAATCAGATTTCCTAAGCTTCAGTGGTCTCTCAACACACCCACAAGTTGTTGATAATCACACCGAGACAACCTGCTCGAATGCATTTAGAGCTTTTCAGACACTTGGTCAAGCAATAAAAGCGAAACTTTGGCTTCTGCAAAGTGTCGAAGGCGGCGAAGGTCAGCTCGACCGAGGGTGGCCAGCGTTTTTGAAATGTCCAATGTGTTCACAGCAGAGTGAAACTGAGACCAGATTCGGAAAGTTGTCAATGTGTGGAAATAGACGCTTCATTCATTGCCTTAACATGTGGCCTTCAACAGTCCCCTCCCTGTTTGTACCGTTCGTAAAAGAAGTGAGTGAGCACGATTGTCTGTTTGTCTGGTTTTGGCCAAGGCAAGTGATTGTTTGCTGTTCTTTTGTGCCTTGTGTGTGGGTGATTGGCATTTCACCTCCTTATCTCGTCTATTTGTGAGTGTCAGCATTAAATACTGAAATACAACGGTGGTCACTATAATTGTGTGTTTTTTCAAACTTCTCACTAAGTAAGTTGAGTTGTCAAAGCAACTTTCTCGTCTGATGTTTGTTTACCATTTATTGGTAGATTCGAAGGCTCACATCATTACCGGATTCCATCATCCTAAGCATTTTCACCGCTCACCAAGCACACAAAACAGTAAACCAATCAACAGAATACTTTACTTTAACTATTAATCTTACATTTTCTTTTGATAGACAACCAAAATGGAGGACAAAAAGCTCACTGGAAAGTGGAAGAATGATGAACCAGTGAAGAGTGAAACGGCCAATGAAGCATCAATCGGAACATCACTGAGCATTTCTAATGTGGTGGACATCATTCTGCAAGAGCTGATGTCTGCGGCGTCTGGTACTGAAGACCCGAGTAACCTGTCCTCAATGCGCTCACTGGCCATGCTCGCCGAACTTCGTTTTTGGGGCCAGGTTTGGAAGAACTCTGTGGAGCACTACTGTCGCTGTCATCTGAAGTCGTTCACCGTTGAGGTTGACTTGTCGCACGATGATGATCGAAAGATGATCGAGCAGGGCAAACCTCGACGGGAGAAGAAGGTGATCAGTTTCGACGAAGCAATGTCCCTCAGCTCGACTGCTTTCTCTGAGGACTTTGATCGCATCACAGACACACTGGACAGCAACCGACGACCTTCAATGGTTTACGAGGTTCTCAAAGACGGACCACTGATTCGCCTGACTGGAGCAGGTCAACTGAACAGCTTTGTCCGTTTCCTCGAAGCCGTTTCAACCACAACCGATGATAAAACAGGTCAGCCTACAGTTTCACCGATGATCACAGAGTCAGTTTCTCTTGTCATCATTGAAAAGGATACGAAACCAGAGTTTCAAACTGAAAAAGGTGAGTAGTAATTTGAAAATTGAACTTTACTATTAACCCAAGCTTCCTTTGTTAGAAAGGCCCGCCATTAAATCTCTGCTGAGCCACCTTCCCCATCTGAAGCAGCTCATCTTCACCGTTTTCACCGACAACCGCATCAAAGGAGATCGACCGTTTAAGCAGCTTGTTCCACAGCTCGTCACCTACCTGGTTGACAGTCGAGTGAAGGGTCCCCTCAGCCATCTCGATCTGAACCTAAACGAATCAGTCTTTGGCCCAGCTGAGGACTACTCCGCTCTACTGCCGCTGATGCCTCAACTCGTTCACTTTGGACTAAATGCCGAGGCAACTGGTGACTCGGTGATGCGACTGCTCATGGCCGCCTCCTCTCGCCTAGCCAGTCTCAAAGTGGACATTGTTCACTGTAAAGAGAGTGATTTTGCAGAGACATCGGAGATGGATGAGCAAACGGATAGGCTGAATATTAGCTCAAAAATAGTCGATTTGCCCTTTCTCGAATCGCTCACTTCGCTGACCTTCATCGATTGCGAGTACAGCCAATTCACTGACTACTGGTTGCAGCACTTTTCTGCGCTCAACACTCTGGTTCTGGGAGAGAAAGCAGGACTGGACAATGACGATTTTCATGTAAGACAAACTCAAACTATTCACTTACTTGATTCCACCTCATTTTTCTTCTCTTTTTTAGAACCTCACTTTTATTCTCGAAAATCTGGTTTCTTTTCCTCTGCTGAACCGTGTGACGCTGGTCGGCTTCTCCAAAACGTCCATCCCTCGCACCGTCGTCCTCTCACTGCCTCAGTGCACCGATCTGAGTCTGGTTCAGTGTCGTTTCACTGACAATTTGCCGCACACCGTCCTTGGCCTGCCTGTTGTGCACCAGTTTGAGCCGGAAATTTTCGAGAATCAAGTTTGCTCAATGCATCTGATAAAAGCAGTTTTTCAGCTGACGGCCCGCCCCGGACGCTTTCTTGGCAGTCTGCAGTCGCTTACTATGCTCGATCGATGCGAAAGCGAAAATTTGGAACCAGTCGTGGCCACATTTAGAGAACGTATCGAACGCAAAGGTTTGCGTCGATTTCAGCTGTACCTGCGATCGGGATACCCGGTTCCGTACTGGTAAAGTCTTCAAAAGTAAAAATGCAATTCCTGAATATGCTTTCTACCTTGATTAAATACGTGTCCCCTTGTATAACTTGTTAATAGATAATCTTCAATGGTGTACTTTTTAGAAAAAAACACAAAAAACTTATCTTCATCAATGAACGTTTTGCCGGCAAGTTAGCAAAAGNAATTGCTAAAAGGAAGATTCTAGTGCTGATTAAAGTGCTGAAAGAATGATGATGATAAAATATGATGATTAGGAGCCGGCTCTCAAAACTGCATGACATGCAAACTGCAAAAGAGAAACGTTAGTTATTAAAAATGTTATAAAACTGACACTGTTTTTTGGAAAAAAGATATTGCACTTACAGTTTACTCCACTGCACTGGCCCTTCNCTTTCCAGAGGAGGGATGTTCACATTGTGCAGACGATTTTGGCTAGCAAATGCTAGAGCGATTGAATAAAAATGAGAAAACGGGCAAAAAAAATGTATTTAGAAAAGGAGAGGAGAGAAACGATGAAATTGTAAAGTTCTTTCTTACTTTCTCAGTGCTTTTCTCTCTCTCTCTCTCTCTCTCTCTCTCTCTCTCTCTTTCTCTCTTGCATCAATATTCATTGCTCTGTCTCTATAACTCATTCATCATTTTTTCTCTCCCTCTTTTCTTTTGGCCCAACTTTTATCTCAGGCCAACCCACATTTTGGATGGGCCCCCGAAAACCGAGGTATAAAAGGGGCTGCATTCTACTGCCACAGTCTAAGCTCACTAAGGTGCTCGACGATTTTCAGCAATTGAATTCCAACTACCACCACCACAAAAATTACTTTTCTACTCAAAACCAGTCACTTACCAGTTGACTGT